GAATACATCTGGAATGTGCAGGTTGATGTGCAGGTTGGTTGAGATCAGACATTTGGAAGCGTTCATATGGAGGCTGTCGATTACTCGTTCGCATAAACAATCTTCTTATTCGTAACCGTAAGGTGTTCAAGAACGTCCTGAAAGCATAATTCATTTACTATAAAAAATATTCAGCTTCTGTATAAAAAGCAATTCAATAGTCTGTTTTATTTCATGTTTAACTGAGCGAGTGACAATTCAAGAAATAGCACAAAAAGGTGCTGTTTTTATCTTATCAATTAAGTATACGATATTATCAGTTCTCTTATCAGTTAAGTCTACGGAAAGTCATGTCATAACTCACCCTCAGTGAAAAGAGAGACCGGAAATAACACATGATAAGAAATACGATGCGACAAGGTAAGAAGAATAGGAGTTAATGGACGAAAGGAAAGCATCTACGAATGTTGACTGAATGGGGATGCGAGACATAATTAGAGAAAGCGGTACTTCTTCAGGATTGAGCTGTGGCATCTCAGTGTTCACTTCAGCGCATAAATCAGGAGTTTAGCAAGATAAACTAGCATGGGTCGAATGTCCACGATGATGATGGCACCCAAACATAAAGATACAGCAACTCAAATAGATCATGCACGTAACATATTTACGACAGTGTTCCAGGTTATCGAACACACTGGTCAAACCGTGACCGCTGAGAGTCGTGTCTATTACACAAATTTGCTCATGTGATATAACCCTCACCAGAATATATATCTCAAATTAGGGTCGATTCGAGAAATCCCGAGGGCCGGGTTCGAGGGCCTCCAGTCCTATCTGCCACCCTCGTGAGCCCCGGGCAATTATGAGGTTTTAGGAATCCCCGGCCCCTCTACTTTCGGAGTCACCTGAGATTGATCTTGTGCCTAAGGTTAGGCCGAAAACCTTCAGGCTCAGAGGCGCCCGAGCGCTTACAAGGTTTCAGGACACCTCGACCTCGGAAAACCCGAGCTTAACTTCGCCCTATCAACTCTGAAGCATATGAAAATGGCGCAGTCTATAGGTTCAAGCATTAAGACATAGGAACAACAATGAGCGGTTGTGAAATGTCCCATTCAGTTTTCTACTCATCTCAAGTTCAAATGTAAAGGGGAGGTGCTTGATTGAAGAAAGAGCAAAAAGTCACAAATTATTTAATATATACATGAAAATTCGATAAATAAACTTCATTTCTGACGATCTTCAATTAGCTGAATTTTGAACCTTTAGTACCGACACAAAATGTATGTGCTCAAAAAATTCCTTATCAATACCATAAAGAGTGATAAGGAGACAAGATTCACTACCAGTAAGACAGCACTCGGTAATCTTGCTGTGAGGTCGAGGAGAAATGGGATGTGGCCTAATGCTCATACGCTTCACATATAAGTCGAAGCCCATGCGTTAGCCTCATCACCGGGCTAAACGTAGATCTAGGCACCCCATTTCTCCTTGACCTAAACAGCAAAATTACCCAGCACTCTTTCAGATACACAGCACAAAGTATCTATGGATTATAAGAGCATCAAATTTGACGCATCATCTCAGCACAACCTCCAACCACAGTCATTGAGTGTATTACTCCTCTCGAACAAGATGACGAATCAGAGGAATAATCAAAATCAATGAAACAAACAAAGATTAAACGAAGCAAACAAGGAATGATCAAAAACCCTTATTAGGAAGTATTAAAGGTGACTTAAGTTGGAATAATAAAGGCTTGATACGGCTTATACACTCTCGTGAAATATATCACAATTCGTTGGCGCATTTAAATATATCACATCAACAAATAAAATGGTTAATAGCGCATTTAAACTAGGCCATTGCATAGAAAACTACAGATTTCATGATATCAATGGTTTAGAATCAGATACAAAGCTACGGGCTTCTTCGGTTATGTGTTTCCTACCTAATGATTTATTTACCTCATATTACTACTCCCAAAGAACACCTGAGAAAAAATAGTTCACCACACCGATGAATCAATCTCTACACATCACTTTTCGAGGAACTGTAAAATGACGATGTGCAAAAAAATAGTTCGTAGAGAAACGCATAGTTGTTTGATAGTTTAACTCGAATAGCTTTTTGACATTACTAACTCAGTGCTGGAGTATTTGTTCCTCTTTTGTTATTATCGGACCATGTAGGTATCCCAACATTCGCGAAATTAACACCTATTTTGCTGAATCTTACGGCTTTCAAAACCTGAAATTAGTACGAGTGTAAATCCGACTTCAAATAAATTAAGTTGCGTGGAGCGCCTTGAAACATGAATGACACGGCATAAAGACCATGTGAAGGAGGAAGCTTCACTCACTCCATTCCCCTAAGGGTTGCATACAGCATTTTTTTTCAAGTTCGATGACNTAATGTGTGTTTAATATAAAAAGCGTATTACTGAGGCTTAGCCTCAGCCTGAGCGTGGCCTCAGCTTAAGCCTAAGCCTAGTCCCTGCCTCAACCTAAGCGTAGCCTCAGCGTAAGCCTAAGCGTAGCCCCAGCCTCAGCTTGAGCTTCAGTAATACACATTAGGCTGAGGCTTAGCCTCTGTCTGACTATGAGCATAGCCTCAACCTTAGTCTGAGCGCGAGGCTGAGGCTACGCTTGCTCACCATATTGTGTGTGTGGTATAAAACGCGTATTACTGAGGCTTAGCCTCAGCCTAAGCCTCAGTAATACGTATTAGGTTGAGGCTTAGCCCAAGCCTAAGCCTAAAGGTAGCCTCAGCCTCAGTCCGAGCGTGAGGCTGAGGCTACGCTTGAGCCAAGGCTGTGTCGGCCATAGTGCTGTTGTACTGCTGCACGCTCGCTGTTTTGCCCCTCAAACGACACCAGTACCATAAAATAGTGATAAACATTCTCGAAATATATCACATAGTCCGTGTTTTATACCACACAAATAGATTCTTGATGAGGATAGATTATATAGAGCAGTGCTTCTCAACCTTTGTTCTCGCCCGTACCCTCTAAAAAATTTTAAGATGTTCTCGCACCCCTTACAGTAATGGCTAAAATGTCCCTACAGTGATAGCTATAATGTCCTCACAACATCCACTGCAGCGAGTGTCTGTAGTGTAGATAAGTCTGTACCATAGAGTACGTTCTACCCTTTCCAAAAATATATTCGTTAAAGCCCATCCTCCATTGCATTATAGGTATGTATGCGTTGAAATCCGCTCTCGCCTACTTCAATATGTGAAACATAAAATGTTATCTTGCATCCCCTGGAATACTATCTCGAAACCCTACAGTGTGCGAACACCCCTGGTAAAGAAACCCTGATTTACGGCGATCATACCTGAAAAGAGTTCTACAAACCTTTCAGATGAACCTCCTCTGACCGTCTAACTTTTTGCGAAAGATGCCAATGCTAACATAACTGCAAAACAACGCGTGGAAGTGAAATTGTTACAGTGTCTCGTACTGGTTGACTGGATGGATTTGTGCTACGCGTTATTCCATCGTTCATAATTGTTACGATGTATTGATGTTTTTCTTTCTTTGAAGTTGTCGTGTTGTTTCGTTTGCGTCCGTTTTTTATCGAATTGCTTATGATTAACATCCTTTCCCAAGTGAGGTATTCAATATAATTCGGTAAGATGCGATGGGGATGAGGAAATGCTGGGACGGATCAGGATCTGCCGGACGGAAACGGGCCAAGATTTGCTAAGCCGAAACTGGCTAAAGTAGGAATGCAAGTATGTGCTTACGAATCAGAGACTCAGAGCAAAGAAAACCTTTATGAATTTAATTTGTATGCACCAAATTGAAAATTCGCACTGGAAAAGTGGTTGGTTTCGAAGAGGGTTTTAAATATAACAGTGTTATTAACATATTTGTACACATTAACATAATTGATCAGCAAAAACATAGCAGAGAACCGTAGAGCCAGCACAGCTCGTGACGGGCTTACAAATCGGTTAGACGACTGTACAGTACTCAAAGCACTTCTGTAAACCATTTTTAACTATGAAATTTCATCATGGTGCAAGTGCACCTTCACAAGGAATTTTTTACACTGGTCCAGCGTTTCTCTGACTTGAGTTACCCGCCTGTATTTCCTGCTTTATTTATTTGCTTAGTTACGCTGATAATTAATGTACGTTTTGCATATATGCCTCTTCAAGATCACTTCGATTACCATTATTATCCCGTTGATTCTCTTCTCATCACATGTGAATTGTGTTTTCATTGTTTCATGATGATTTTTTATCAGATTTTGATGGAGTGTAATAATTTCTGATTAAATTACAGATGTCGAGTTCTTCATCGGCAAAAGTGACCTTCAAAATAACTTTAACCAGCGATCCAAAATTGCCATTCAAAGTGTGAGTTTATTACGGAACAGTATTTGAGATTTTGTTAACGGCACACACGGGATTATTCTGCAGAAACGGTCAGCAACATAGTTAAGTGAAAGAAAAATTGGAATTGATACCCAAAATTCGTTCCCGAATGCTTTTTGTTTTGAGAGTTTTTATAGATGAATGGTTTCATTCATATTGTATAATGATTCCTAATATGGAATTCAGCGTTTAAAATTGAAAATGGTGCAGACTAATCCCAAAATGATTGCAGTTTAAGCGTCCCCGAAGGTACGCCATTCACAGCTGTCCTGAAGTTTGCTGCGGAAGAGTTCAAAGTACCAACTGCAACGAGTGCCATAATAACGAACGATGGTGTAGGTGTTAATCCAGCGCAAACAGCTGGTAATGTTTTCTTAAAACATGGCTCTGAATTAAGGCTCATACCAAGGGACCGTGTTGGAGCTGCTTTATTCTGATCACTTTCTCAAACCTGTCATCGTTCAATCTCACTGCTAATCTCTTTAGATCAAATCTGCACCTCCGAAATTATCTTGTCATGATTGAAATAACATATCTGCGATTGAATTACTCGCTGAAATTTCGCCATTTACGTCACTCTCTCAATTTGAAGTTGAATTGTTTTCGCCAATCCTGTTAAAAGAAATCTTTTTTAAAATTTGTTCCTTTGTTATTGTTGAGATTCAACGATTCATCTGTGATTCGCATATCGAGATAATTTAATTTATTATTGATTAAAGATTTCAAGTTATCATCATTTTAAATGTTTTCAAACGTTAACATTTATTTATTCAGAAGTGATGGATTTTTTTCGATTCCCTACCAGAGCCATCGGCTTACGCTTGAGTTGTCTGTCGATAAATTCAGCTGAAAATTCCAAAGAGTCGAAAAAATTTATTAAATCATGTCAACCACTATCTTTCATGAAGAAAATGTAAAATTGTTGGGAATTTGTTTTAGTTCGCCAAAATGCCATTCTTTGTTGGAAGTTTGTGCTAATTTATCTATTGCTATAAAATTCCTGTTTTTATCCGCATCATAGAAAGCTGTTTGTGATTCACATAAGAACAAGAATAAATGGGAGTAAAGATTTTATTCTGATGGCTCAATGCGTTAATAAACAATATCTTTTTTTTGCGTTTCAAGTTTCATTAAGTAGCACAGTAATGGACCGTGATGAACACAACACGCACGCATACCTTTTTCTTTTATCATTCGTCATATTGCATGCCGTGCCCACCCAACTGCATCCCATTGCTCTGTACACTCCATTGCGATGCATGCTGATACAAAATTCAGTCCCACTACATCCGGTGTTTCATTTTCAGTTTCATTTCTGGATGCGATAAGCTTCATTTTTCAATGCATAATTGATATGGTTTTGATTGGTGGTAGATTTCCCACTGTTTTTGTTTAAATAAAGTAGGATATTTTCGTAGTTTTAACTATCAAATTCCATTTTGGCTTGTTGACTGAATTACTTCTAGATAGTATAAACCAGAGGTGCCCATAGAGGGGGGAGGGGAGGGGAGGGTAATTACCTAGGTTTGGGTAATTTGAGGGTGTCAGGGGTAGTGGGGT